AACCCGTCTAATTAAGCCATATGTATTATTGATTAGCCTATTAGTTAACATCAAAGCTGACAGATCCGATTCGTTCACTGAGTGACCTTCAGTGTGTGTTTGTGTCGTTCAGCTTCAGCCTGGGCTCAGCCTCGAAGACCCCAAAGAACCTGAAGGAGAACCCCAAAGTGTCTAAAAGCACAAAGAGAGAGCGGGAGGACGCGGCCAGGAGAGAGAGGGACGAGCTGACGAGGAAGGACAGCGATGACGTCACGCAGAGAGAGAAACAGGACTCCTTCACGGAGGAGAGGAGCGGAGCGATGCTAAAGGTCAGACAGATCACTGTCAGGGTCGTCACTCAGACACGGCTGGGTGACCTGAACCATCAGCACCGCCGTTAATCAGGTGCTGTTTAGGGGCCTGAATCGTGGAACACACACGAGTTTATAAATGAGGAGCGTTTAAAGTGAAGATGTTCAGCTTTTAAAATGTGGTCCAGCTGCAAAAACAGCCTGTTTTACATTTAGAATAGTTGTGATGTCACAGCGACAAACACGTCTACATTTGGCAGCCATTCAGCTGCAGTGACTTAGCCCCGCCCACTCAGTTTAGCCCCACCCACTCAGTTTACAGCAGTTTAGCCCCACCCGTTCAGTTTAGCCCTGCCCATTCATTTTACAGCAGTTTAGCCCCACCCACTCAGTTTACAGCAGTTTAGCCCCACCCGTTCAGTTTAGCCCTGCCCATTCATTTTACAGCAGTTTAGCCCTGCCCATTCAGTTTAGCCCCACCCACTCAGCCTACAGCAGTTTAGCCCCACCCATTCAGTTTAGCCCTGCCCATTCATTTTACAGCAGTTTAGCCCCGCCCATTCAGCTTACAGCAGTTTAGCCCCGCCCGTTCAGTTTAGCTCCACCTATTCATGTTACAGCAGTTTAGCCCCACCCATTCAGTTTAGCCCCACCCATTCAGCTTACAGCAGTTTAGCCCCGCCCGTTCAGTTTAGCTCCACCTATTCATTTTACAGCAGTTTAGCCCCACCCATTCAGTTTAGCCCCACCCATTCAGCTTACAGCAGTTTAGCCGCACCCTTTCAGTGTAGCCCCTCCCTTTCAGCCTACAGCAGTTAAGCCCCACCCATTCAGTGTAGCCCCTCCCTTTCAGCCTACAGCAGTTAAGCCCCACCCATTCAGTTTAGTCCCATCCATTTAGCCTACAGCAGTTAAGCCCCACCCATTCAGTTTAGTCCCATCCATTTAGCCTACAGCAGTTTAGCCCCACCATTCAGCCCACAGCAGTTTAGCCCCACCCATTCAGTGTAGCCCTTCCCTTTCAGCCTACAGCAGTTTAGCCCCACCCATTCAGCCCACAGCAGTTTAGCCCCACCCATTCAGTGTAGCCCTTCCCTTTCAGCCTACAGCAGTTTAGCCCCACCCATTCAGTGTAGCCCCTCCCTTTCAGCCTACAGCAGTTAAGCCCCACCCATTCAGTTTAGTCCCATCCATTTAGCCTACAGCAGTTTAGCCCCACCCATTCAGTTTAGTCCCATCCATTTAGCCTACAGCAGTTTAGCCCCACCCATTCAGTGTAGCCCCTCCCTTTCAGCCTACAGCAGTTAAGCCCCACCCATTCAGTTTAGCCCCTCCCTTTCAGCCTACAGATGTTTAGCCCCACCCATTCAGTCTACAGCAGTTTAGCCGTACCCATTCAGTGTAGCCCCTCCCTTTCAGCCTACAGATGTTTAGCCCCACCCTTTCAGCCTACAGCAGTTTGGCCACACACTTTCAGCCTATAGCACTGTAGCCCCACCCACTCAGCCTACAGCACTTTAGCCGCACCCATTCAGCCTACAGTAGTTTAGCCCCACCCATTCAGTGTAGCCCTTCCCATTCAGCCCACAGCAGTTTAGCCCCACCCATTCAGCCTATGGTAGTTCAGCCCACCCACTCAGCCTGTGCACTGGGGTTTGACTCTGCTGCAGGACGCTGGACTTAATGACCAAAACAGGCCACAGACGTACCTGCTCAGAGCCGGACCTGAGGGGGGAGAGACCACCCACACCTCTAAACACAGTCCGGAGGATTCATACACATACAGCGAGACATCGACAGCCTCCAGACCCCCAGAACTGCCCCTCAAAAACTGCCTCGCCCCTGGGATACCGCCCCTGACCAACAGCCCCCTGACCATCACTACTACTGCAGCCAGCACGGCCACGGGACCCTCACTGACCACAGTCAGCCTCAGGTAACAACACACTCCAGTACCATGTCACACATATCGCTTAAAGCTGATAATGATTGGTTACTCGTTCTGTTCTGTATGAAGGGGTAAAATATTTTACATCTTTTTTTTACATTGTGTGAACGTTTCCTGATGAATGGGCCAATAGAAACGCTCCACATTTACATACATTAATGTACATTAAAATTAACAGGATTTTCATTCAGCTGTAACGATATTTACAATATACAGCAGTTTTTCATAACAGCAACATAAATATTCTGATGTTGAATTTAAAGTATGAATAGTATCCTGAAAAAATCAGAACACTGTCAGAATAAATGATAGAATAGGTAAATATAGTAAATGTGCTACAGAAATCAGGATTAATTAATGATGTTCATGTGTCAGATTTGCCTGGGCGGAGCAATGTTTACGGTAAACACATGAACATGAGCTCCTCTCCATGTCTGTAACAGAATAACAGTGCCCCCTAGAGTCCTGAAGTGGTAACTGTTTAAAGGCCTGTGCTGCTAGCGCTGCACTGAGGACCAGCTCCACTGTTTTATCAGACAAACATCATCAGCACTGAAAGTCTGATCTCATCTTCATCGTGTGTTTGTTTGAAGGTCTGTCTGATCTCATCTTCATCGTGTGTTTGTTTGAAGGTCTGTCTGATCTCACCTTCATTGTGTGTTTGTCTGAAGGTCTGTCTGATCTCACCTTCATTGTGTGTTTGTCTGAAGGTCTGTCTGATCTCACCTTCATTGTGTGTTTGTCTGAAGGTCTGTTGAGAAGAAGAGAAACGTGAACGTGTGTAACAGATTCTCCCAGCAGTCTCTGTCCAATCACGCTGCAGCAGCTCCTGCAGTACAGGTGAGCTCCCTACCTGCATAAAGTCCTGACGTCTTAAAGTCCTGAAGTCCTGAAATCTGCACTTTCCTGATCTTCCATCTGCTGTGAGACTCACATTACTCAAGTGACTGTGCTGAGAGCTGATTGGCTATAAAAGGCTGTGCTGAGAGCTGATTGGCTATAAAAGGCTGTGCTGAGAGCTGATTGGCTATAAAAGGCTGTGCTGAGAGCTGATTGGTTATAAAAGGCTGTGCTGTGACCTGATTGGTTATAAAAGGCTGTGCTGTGAGCTGATTGGCTATAAAAGGCTGTGCTGAGAGCTGATTGGCTATAAAAGGCTGTGCTGTGAGCTGATTAGCTATAAAAGGCTGTGCTGAGAGCTGATTGGCTGTGCTGTGAGCTGATCTGCTTAAGTAGCTGTGCTGTGATCTGATTGGCTGTAAGTGACTATGTTGAGAGCTGACTGGCTGTAAGTGGCTATGCTGTGATCTGATTGGCTGTCAGTGGATGTGCTGTGGTTGCACTGGCTGTCAATTTCTGTGCTAAGAGCTGATAAGTGACCATGTTGAGAGCTGACTGGCTGTAAGTGGCTTTGCTGTGAGCTGATTGGCTGTAAGTGGCTGTGCTGTGATTTGATTGGCTGTCAGTGCCCATGTCATGAGCTGATTGGCTGTTACTCCTCTGATCCTCTAGGTAGCGCCAGAGTGGGGATTGGCTCCAGAGAGATCATTCCACTGCAAACGGAATGCAGCAGGGAATGCTGGGAGGAGAAGAGGAGAGATACGCTTCCCTGAACTGCGTAACACCCTCCTACCAGAGCACAGAGCAGACGGTAAACAGCAGTGCGCCTGTTCCTGATCACTGTCAGTGCAGAAATGACTTTACAGTGAAACCAGAGGAAATCATGACTCGCATACAGGACCAGCACAGTGTCCTGAGGGCTTTACACAAAAACCCTGCTTCATTTTTAAAACAGAGCAGATTCTGTGAAATTATTACTGTGACTCTGATTATTATTACATATAGATACTTACATACACTCACCGAGCACTTTATTAGGAACACCTCCTTGTTTCTACACTCACCGTCTGTGTTATCAGCTCTGCTGACCATATAGCAATTACAGACTGACACTGACGTGGTGGTGGTGTGTTAGTGTGTGTTGTGCTGGTCTGAGTGGATCAGACACAGCAGTGCTGCTGGAGTTTTTAAACACCTCAGTGTCACTGCTGGACTGAGAATAGTCCACCAACCAAAAATATCCAGCCAACAGCGTCCTGTGGGCAGCGTCCTGTGACCACTGATGAAGAACTAGAGGATGACCAACACAAACTGTGCAGCAGCAGATGAGCTATCGTCTCTGACTTTACATCTACAAGGTGGACTGACAAGGTAGGATGGTCTAATAAAGTGGACAGTGAGTGGCCACAGTGTTTAAAAACTCCAGCAGCACTGCTGTGTCTGATCCACTCGTACTAGCACAACACACACTAACACACCACTACCACATTAGTGTCATTACTGAGAATGACCCCCCACCTAAATAGTACCTCTCTGGGGGTCTGTGGGCGTCCTGACCACTGAAGAACAGGGTAACAAAGTAGGCAGAGAAACAGATGGACTACAGTCTGTAACTGTAGAACTACAGAGTGAAACTATACGGTCAGTGGAGCTGATGAAGTGGACAGTGAGTGTAAATGCAGGGAGGTGTTCCTAATAAAGTGCTCAGTGAGTGTGTATAATATGTGTGGGACATATTGTGTATCCTGACATTGTATAAAAATAACTGTCCGTCTCTTACGTTGTTTATTGTTTTCTCTTCTCTGTTTTTGTTTTCTTGTAGGGAAACACAGCAAAAAGAAAGACACCAAGATTCCCTCCATCACTGCAGCAGAGCTGCACCTGGACAGAAACACATAATACACAAACACACACACACATGGATCTAAAACCAGCAGGCGCACTGTAGATCATAACCCAGCATCAGATTCTCATCAATAAATGTGCTGCACTCTTAGACTGCTCATTCATGCTGGTGTTCACCATTAGGTGGCACTACAGCACAGGTTTACCACCTCTGACTCAGAGAAAATCATCTCCCAGTCTGTCTGCACATCTTTTTACAAATTTCCAGCAGGGCCTGGACTGGCAGACCACACATTTATGCTGCGTACACTTATTAATTATTTTCATTATATATTATTTATCATTTATTATACGCAGCTCGCCAGTTTTCCTTAATGTCTCACCTTCTTAGTTTGTATATAATTTATAGGGCAGAGACTTTTGACTTGAGTTTCATCTTTCAGAACAACCACTTTAAAAGCCAAACATACTAAAACAGCAACAAAGTGCATCTCATTTTATAGCGCTTATTCACTTTAATTCATCATTAACAACATTAGCATTTCTGAATAGCGAATATCCGTGATTCATGGGCTCTTAATGGGCCCATCATTTCGTCTCCACCTGTATAATAGTTTGTGTGTTTATAATTGTCAGATATAACGATTTTGATATAATTGTGTTCACTTTCTTTTTTTTTACTGTTTAGGGTACATGAGTTAGCCAGCTTGCTATGCTAGCTGCTTGGCTAACTGCAGCTACACACAAATCATCCCACTGCTGCCGGCCACAGCAGTATAATCTACACTGTAGTACAGATTAGTCTGTAGAACTGCACTGCTGTGAGGTTTGTTCTCTTTTGTGTCATTGTTTATGGTTAGCAGGTTAGCTAGCTTACTAGCATTTAGTCTGGCCCAGTTTTAGTCACTCCCATTTCACAAGGTGACACATACTGCAAAGGTCTAGTGTGATTAATGTGATTAGGACAGCTTAAAGGGAAACTCCACTGATGTTTCAATTGTCTGCATAATTAAGTTAAGACGTAATCAGAGCGGTTCAGAGTGGTTCAGAGTGGTTTGGTGTGAAACGCTCTGTTCTAGATAAACTTACCGAGTCAGAACTGTTCACAGTGGTGGTGATAGGAACCAGACGTCCACCTCTAAAAGCTCCCTCACAGAAAGTTCCTACAGTAAATGGTTATGAATTCACTGCCTGATGACTGAGACACTGTTTTATGATAGTTTAGAGAACTTAAACTCCATTCATGGTGGAGGGATACATGCAGGGCGCTGTGAGGCAAAATAGTCCCCAAAGAAAACTTATTATTTCAGATTTTCCACTATTTTCATCATCAACATTCCATATAAACTCAGAAGACTCGTGTAGGTTCACTGGTGGTTCTGGATAGTAAATAAAATGTCTATATTTGTGTTGTAGTCATGGCGACCCCTGGTTCCCATCACCACCACTGTAAAGACATCTGAACCATTTCACACCAAAACACTCTGAGTGACTCTGTTTACACCTCACACACTGAATTAGGGGGAATTTTGGAAAATCTGAGGAATTCCTCTGTAATTTATACAGTAGGCCTTTCTTGCTCCGGATGACGGAGCCGCCCGTTTGAGAACCCAGGAGGATTTCACTCTTTATAAGTGGATATAAGCACTTAAGCTTGAGTCAATAAAGCTGCATTGTTAGTCTCGTCTGCCAGGTCTGCGCAACATTTCATCACACGCAATAAAAGGCTTTACACGTCTGCTTTTATTCACGTCTGATTCACAAACCCGCAATTATCAAACCACCACCAGCATAACACTAACTGTGTGTGTGTGTGTGTGTGTGTGTGTGTGTGTGTGTGTGTGTGTGTGTGTGTGAGTGTGAGTGTGAGTGTGTGTGTGTGTGTGTGTGTGTGTGTGTGTGTGTGTGTGTGCTGTATCTGTCTTCTTCAGTTGGGGTGTGTTTTAGCAGCACCACAGCCTGAGTGTGGTGTTTTATATAGAAGCCAGAGTCTGGTTTGCCTTCAGAAATGATTCACTAACAGATCCCAGCAGTCCAGAAAGGCCAAGAGTCTCAAAGTCCAGTCCAGAAGGGTCACATTAGTGCACAGTTTACTGGCTGAGGACTGTTCTGTTAGGCTGTAATGCAGGGGTGGGCTTTGAGCTAGACCAGGGGCAGCAACCCCAAAGTTAAGAAGAGCCATTTTGTCCTTTCAACAAAAATCAAACCACCTTGAGAGCCACAACATTTTATGTCTGTTTTACCGTCTTGGCTGTAAATGTGTCTCTGTATGTGCTGATGTACCAGTAAAGGCTAACACATTTAATATGAATGAAAAGTCAGACTCACTTTGCTCTGCTTTAATCTTTAGTTCAGCTATAGCTGCTTTTCTCGCATCTCCGGCAGGAAACTTTTCCACAAAAGTAGAACAGATTTTTACGAGGCTGAAGTCGCTTCTCATTCACCAGCTTCTTGTTCGAATTATCCCATTCCACCTTAAATGGTGTGGCAATTACATTCTACCACCTCAGGCACCATTGAAGTTGGAACAGGAAAATTCGAACCAGAAACTGACTTCAGCTTCGTGACTTTTTAGTGTTTGTCAGTTTCTCACTGCAGATTAAACGTATCAGGAAACCAGCTGGAGTGATTATAAACACTAATAAGTCCATTTGTCTCCAAATTATCGATGTTCATCCTAAATCTCTCTCTTTGCCGTTTCATTAGCTACTAGCTGGGCAAGATTGTTGTCTGTGTTGCTATGGTGACCAGCAGTCTGCGCTGATCTTCAGGGTTAAAGGGTGAATTAGCAGTTCTACATTAACTCCAGCGTTTAAGACCATTTATTGTTAAACTGTGTTGACCGCGGTCCGAGTCCGGACCCAGATGCTGTCCTATGTGGACCTGGACCTATAACCGATAAACTATGGAGAATTATTTAATTTCGACAAGGTGGTCCTATTTTAATCGGCGTGACTTTTCTAGCCTTTACGGTAGCTTTAGCGGCCGGAAACTCACAGACCAATCGCATGCGTAGTAAATACCACACGTGATGCTACTCAGCCAATCAAATCTGTGCATTACGTTGAGCACTGAGACTTTTCTTTACTAAAGAAAACATTTTCTTTACTAAAGAACCCATGAAGAACCATCATTTTTTAAAGGGTGTAGATTTCTCCATTAATGTAAGACGTTGAAAGAACTGAGCAACGTCACAAATAAATTAAAAGAGGGTCTGCATTTCTTCAGTTTACAGATATGAACATCACATTCGCCCAAAAGAATAGTGACATTTAATGAATCGAATATATGCAACAAAATTATGTTTACAAAAAATATCATGACATTTAAAAGGAGACAAATATCATTTTTATTGTGGTCAGTTCCGCCTCTGCAGCGCCCCCTCTGGTTCAACTCTACTATAGGCGCAAAGTACGATGACACATCACATTATTCAAATCAGTCACACAATGTTACCGCCACCTGATGACGCTCTACTCGTGCTGCACTCATAAATATGAAAGTGAGTTGTTGGCAGTTTGGAGTGAGTTGAAGGCTGTTTGGAGTGAGTTGTCAGCTGTTTGGAGTGAGTTGAAGGGTGTTTGGTGTGAGTTGCCGGCTGTTTGGTGTGAGTTGTCGGCAGTTTGGAGTGAGTTGAAGGCTGTTTGGAGTGAGTTGAAGGCTGTTTGGAGTGAGTTGTAAGCTGTTTGGAGTGAGTTGAAGGCTGTTTGGAGTGAGTTATCGGCTGTTTGGAGTGAGTTGAAGGGTGTTTGGTGTGAGTTGCCGGCTGTTTGGAGTGAGTTGTCGGCTGTTTGGAGTGAGTTGAAGGCTGTTTGGAGTGAGTTGTCGGCTGTTTGGAGTGAGTTGTCGGCTGTTTGGTGTGAGTTGCCCGCTGTTTGGAGTGAGTTGTCGGCTGTTCGGAGTGAGTTGTCGGCTGTTCGGAGTGAGTTGTCGGCTGTTCGGAATGAGTTGAAGGCTGTTTGGAGTGAGTTGTCGGCTGTTCGGAGTGAGTTGTAGGCTGCTTGGAGTGAGTTGTCGGCTGTTTGGAGTGAGTTGAAGGCTGTTTGGAGTGAGTTGTCAGCTGTTTGGAGTGAGTTGAAGGCTGTTTGGAGTGAGTTGAAGGGTGTTTGGTGTGAGTTGCCGGCTGTTTGGTGTGAGTTGTCGGCAGTTTGGAGTGAGTTGAAGGCTGTTTGGAGTGAGTTGAAGGCTGTTTGGAGTGAGTTGTCGGCTGCTTGGAGTGAGTTGAAGGCTGTTTGGAGTGAGTTATCGGCTGTTTGGAGTGAGTTGAAGGGTGTTTGGTGTGAGTTGCCGGCTGTTTGGAGTGAGTTGTCGGCTGTTTGGTGTGAGTTGAAGGCTGTTTGGAGTGAGTTGTCGGCTGTTTGGTGTGAGTTGCCGGCTGTTCGGAGTGAGTTGTCGGCTGTTCGGAGTGAGTTGTCGGCTGTTCGGAGTGAGTTGTCGGCTGTTCGGAGTGAGTTGTAGGCTGCTTGGAGTGAGTTGTCGGCTGTTTGGAGTGAGTTGAAGGCTGTTTGGAGTGAGTTGTCAGCTGTTTGGAGTGAGTTGAAGGCTGTTTGGAGTGAGTTGAAGGGTGTTTGGTGTGAGTTGCCGGCTGTTTGGTGTGAGTTGTCGGCAGTTTGGAGTGAGTTGAAGGCTGTTTGGAGTGAGTTGAAGGCTGTTTGGAGTGAGTTGTCGGCTGCTTGGAGTGAGTTGAAGGCTGTTTGGAGTGAGTTATCGGCTGTTTGGAGTGAGTTGAAGGGCATACAGTTAGTCTTCTTCAGATGAAGCTGGCCATCTACTCCTCCTGTGAATGAACCCTGGCGCCCCCTGCAGGTGGGGAGGAAACCTGCGCCATGCAGGGTTGTGAAAAGGCCGTGTTTGTGGTCTGTGAAATGGTCCTCCGTGGGGGGGCCGTGGCAGGATCCTTGGTGGTCCTGGAGCAAAACCATTTGCGAGGTGGTTTGTGAGCCACAGTTGGTAGAAGGTCAGCACGGGGTTAGGCCTATTTTGAATGACTGGTGGTTTCACTGTTGTTGTCTGGCTGGTCTGGACAGGCACTCTGGTGGTCTGGCTGGTCTGGGCAGAGACTGTGGTGGTCGGACTGTTCCGGACAGGCAGTGTGGTGGTTGGGTTGGTCTGGACGGGTGCGTTTCCTGGTACTGTGAAGATCTTACA